CGTGCGTTTGCATTTCACATGTGGGTACATATCGACTATTTTCTCACAGACCAAAGTATTTTGATAGGAAATTTTGTAGCTTAAGAATCACAGCATATCGGCTTTTTTTTCGCAGGCCACCTTGTAAAACAGTGAAAATCCTTAGAAGGCAAATGTCCGCTGGATAGAACTACGTAAAACGCATGATCGCACCTGCTGCCCTGGTGCTTGCCGTTATTTATTTTATTTTTTGTATTGAATGTAATGTTTCTAGGTTGGTGCTGGATTTTCCAAACTGAAGCCTTCACAGGGAGTGGTTCCAATCTTGGCGCGGCCTGAAGTTGGTAAGTCCGTACTTTTTCTGGAAGGGTTGGAAGGGTTATTTGCTACAAGCGGGTGTTTTTCTTTTGTTGGATTGCGTTTTGGAGTCAAAAATGATTTTAGTGGGTAAACTGAGTAGTAGTGGAGTTGAGGGAGCACCCGCTCAAAGTGAAATTGGACAGCAGGAAAAGAAACCGCGCAAGTCACGGTGGAGCACCAATAAATCGTTTGTGCCGGGCATGCCGACAATACTGCCGTCGAATTTGAGTGACGATCAGCGACAAGCTTATTTGCGTAAGCGTTTTCTTTTAATCAGAAATATTATTTTTGATTTTCAGCTTTACTTTTTGTTTGATTTTAGAAAAGCCTTTCATTCTTAGTTCTGCATGCGCGGAAAGAACGCGCTTGCTTTTGAAACTTTATATAGTTTAGCCATGGTATTCAGTTGCAAAGCACTTGAAATCTGACGCTGAAAGATTTCATTGCCGATCGGCATTTTTCTTTTTCTTGTTTAATGATATTTCATTGGATCAGTGATGGCTATTTGCTGTTGATGTAACTAATGTACGGGGGAGGGTGGCCCCTTAACCACCTGTTTCAGTTCAACTGGAAGTGGAAGATGCAACGCGGAAGTTACGTCTTGGCGATTTTATGGGCAATCCGGATCCAGCTTTAAGGTTTATCAATAAACGAGCGCCTTTTTTGCTAGGTGTTACGAGCAGTGATAGATTTTCTAGCTTAAATACACAGTTATGGTTATGATGGATACGCAGTGCTTCTCGCTGCAGCTGCTCTCACAACGACGACAAGTTTCATTACAATTTTTTATTATCACAACTTACTTAGAACACTTGCAACAGCGTTGATCCCTGTTCTAGTTCTCCAACTTTTCCAGCTGCTTTGACCAATGTTGCAGCACCTGTT